TCCATTTCAAATAAATGCTGTTTTTTGAAATTTTTATTCATAAAAAAAAAAAAAAAAAAATTCTAATTATCACGGTTTCCACAAAAATATTAAACAGCACAACTGTTTTCAATATTTATAATAATAAGAAATGTGGTAATAAGAAATTGTTTTCTCTCTCTCTCTCTCTCCTAGAAATTCAAATTAAAAAGTGATTTATGTAATAATTAATTTATATAATAAAAATAATATAAAATAAATCATATATAAAAGTATATAAAATAAAATGTATTATATTAATAATCAAACATTATTTTCAAAAATATGAAAACATAACAGCTTTGCATAACAGGAATAAATTACATTTTAAAATACTTTCAAATAGAAAACAGTTAAACTAATATAGATAATGATCTATACTATTTTACATTATCTATATTATTTTAACCGTTTTCTATTTGAAAGTATTTTAAAATGTAATTTATTCCTTTGATGAAAATTTAATGAAATTCTGAAAAATTTCATGAAATTCTGAACACAGAAAAAGCAAAAAATAAAATAAAAATAAAAAAGTTGCTAAAGCAAATTTCCATTTTTAAAACTGGATTCCGCAATTCTGTCCGCACTTTCCAAACACAGAAATCATAAGGTGCTATAAAATAACAAACTTAACAAATGAATTAGATTTGAATTATACAAATTAGGTTTAATTCACCCATTTATTCACTCTCATTCAGTCTGGACTGGACAACCTTTTCATTTTAAAATGCCCAGCAATTTTTCTCTCTCACACTTTTCCTTAGCTGTGTGTCTGTGTGTGTGTGTGATTTATTCACCTGCTGTTTTTGAGTTTCTTAAAGGAAAATTGTCAAAAAAAATTCATCCGACTATATCCGTCTGCAGTCATATGACAGCTTTGTGTGAGGAACAGACGGAAATTTCATTGTTCCACGTCACAAAACTTGACGCACATACAAAGAACTACATCCAAGTCAACTAGGGGAGGGTGTTATCCTGAATAGACACGAAAAATATACACATTTGTTTGCCTGCATAAATAAAAGACCCATCAATGTCTATGCAAGCACATGGAAATGAGACTCCATGAAAAAGGAATCTGTTCCAAAGTGTCTCATTCATATTAATGTTCAATATAAAGAATCACACCCCCTGCCAGGCGATTCAGATGAGGGTCTGAAACAGCTGAACACTAGCGTGTGTTTTTCTTTTCTCTCTCTCTGTGTGTGTGTGTGTACAGTCTGAAAGCCAAATGAATTTTTAATGCATCGGTCAGATCCACATCCTCTTCCTTCAACAGGAAGCAGAGATCAACTTATTTCATTTCTACTGCCTGTATAGTTCATTTCCTCTTAGAAAATATAAAATGTGTGTATATATAATTTTTATATTATGGATTAAGTTGATATGGATATAATATATAAAAATGTTAAATATGTGCAAATATACAATTATATTATATGATATTATATTATTTTTATTACAATGTATACAATATAACTATGTAATATAACTAATTTAGTTTATGCCTTACATTTATTTTTAAATATAATTTATACATTATGCATTAAGATGCTATGAAAAACCAGAATCACTGAGTTCGTAAAAGGATCACCCCTTGACTTGACTTTCAGTTGTGATCAGCTGTGGTAATTTTGATCAGCTCAGCATGAAAAGAGCTTTTCTGGAGCATTTCAGCCCATGGTAGTGCAACTGAAGCAAACAATCAACTATGGGTGGCAAGGCACTGTCAAAAGATCTCCGGGATAAAGTTGTGGACAGACACAAGTCAGGGGATACAAAAAAAATTCAAAGGCTTTATCAATGCCTAGAAGCACAGTGGAGTCTATCATTAAGAAGTGGAAGGTATTTGGTACAACACAGACCATCCCTGGATCAGGATGTCACTCCAAACTGATGAAAGAGCCAGGAGGAAACTGGTCAGAGAGGCAACCAAGAGGCCTACAGCAACTCTGAAGCAGCTGCAGGAATTTATGACAAAGTGTGGTCATTGTGTGCATGTGAGAACAATATCACAAATTCTC